AACGAGCTTATAGTATCATGAAGTCTTGCAGTGGTATGCTTGGGTTTGGGTTTAATTTTGTTAATTATAGGATCCCAAGCAGATGGTAGCACCCAACCATCTTCTCTATTGAAATTTGTATGTTTTTTAATTTCAATAGCCTCGCGTATCATCCTTGGTAGGAATCGGTGTTCTTTTGCGAGAATTTGAGGTTTATCAAATCTGTAATGGTGGGGACGATCTTGAACATGTTCGCAGACTGCAGACTTCCCGGAGCGTCGGTGCTTACGTCGGTTTTTATAGATCTCTTTGTTTGACCTATGTAAGAGAGACCACATTCACAATCTAGCTTGTACACACCTGCATCTTGTAGAGGAATATTACATTTGATGGATGGTAAAAAATTGACTAATCTTCTTCAGCGGCTTGTGGTATGTCTTAATGGACGCTCGCTTCAAGATGTAGCCAATCTTGTCCGTGACTCCTCTGACATATGGTAGTAGAGCAGGCGCGCGCTCGACTGTGGCCGGCTTCACTCGTTCACTGTGACGTAGGCGCGGGACCCGAAGCTTGTTGTCTTGCAATACTTGCTTGACGTGCTGAAGCTCCGCGGCCAGATGTTTTCTGTCACAGATCCCTCGTGCTCTCTGAAACAAAGATTTACCCACGGTAGCTAACTGTGAAGGATGATGGTGAGATTCACCATTTAGATATCGGTTGGTATGGGTCTTTTTCCTATACACAGTGTGACCAATAGTGTGAAAATGCTGATAGCATTTCGGATGAATAAAACATCTAGGAAGGCTAAAGAATTATTTGTCTCTAACTCCACTGTGAATTGTATTTTAGAGTTTATGGAGTTAAGGTGGTCTAAAAATGCAGTTACTTTGGCAGATGGTAAAATTGTGAAAGTGTCGTCTACGTACCGCTTGTAGAACCTTGGATTTACAAGAGCAGTAAGAAGGGCTTTTTCATCAAAGTCCTCCATGAATATGTCGGCGACTATGGGAGACACAGGTGAGCCCATCGCCACACCATCTACTTGCTTGTAGAACTCCTCCTTCCACAATAGATAGCCGGATGTGAGGCAATGTTCAAGTAGTATTGCATATTCTTGAGGCATGTTATTTTCTTCTAGCTTCCTAGTTACAATTGAGATGCAGTCCACAATAGGTAGGCATGTAAATAGTGACTGAACATCAAAACTGACCATAATTTCATTGTTAGCAAGATAAAGGTCTTTTATCTCACTGTCAAAATGGTACGAATCCTGTGTGTGTGCTCTGGTATGTCCTCTCAGTGGTGATAGTATTTTTGCTAAGTATTGTGCCAGCTTATAAGTTGGTGAATCTATCTGGCTCACTATGGTACGTAGTGGAGCGTTTGGGTTGTGTATCTTCGGTAACCCATACGACACTCGGTGATTTGGCACATGATGGTATTAGCGAATTCACGTCAAGATTTAATTTTTCGGAGTATTTCTTTATTAAATCGCTTGTTGTTTTAAGCGTGTTAGTTGTAGGGTCTGTTTTGACCTTTTTGTATGTACTTTCGTCCGATAAAAGTTGTTGTATTTTAAAATTATATTCCGACGCGTCCGTTACTACCGTAGCATTTCCTTTATCCGCGCGGAGAATCGTGAGTTCTGGTCTGTTCCGTAAGTTATTTAGCGCTGTAAATTCGTCTTTGGGAAGGTTTGATTTCGGCACTGAACTACGACGTAACAAGGACGAAATATCTTGACGTATGGCCTCCAAATCTTCCTTACCGATATTATTCTTAAACAGACAATCCTCAATACTGCAGATAATTTCTTCGTACGGGATTTTTCGCGGAGTTAATGCGAAGTTCATTCCCTTCGCTAATACTTTCATTGTCGGTTCGTCCAGTGTATGTTTTGACAAATTATAGACAGTGCGTTGTTTATAGTTTGTGTCTATGGTCATTATTCTCTAAACAATTTTCCATTATCTGGGGTCGGCGCAGTAAATCTTCTTGTTCCATACCTCTCTATCAGCCGTCATTTCCATACTTACTCCTTTCATTCTCATATCACTCTTCACACAATCGATCCATCTTTTATTCGGCCTTCCTCTGCCCGTGTGTCCCTCCAAATTCATATTCAACACTCGTTTTGTGACATGACTTTCATCCCTCCGCATCACATGCCCAAACCATGCCAATCTGCTTCCTCTCACCTTTTCTGCCACTGGCGCTATTTTCAGGCTTCCTCTTATATACTCATTCCTTATCTTATCCATCCTTGTCACACCACACATCCATCGTAACATTCTCATTTCATTCGCATGCAATCTATTTTCATCCTTCTTCTTGACGGCCCAGCATTCACTTCCATACATGACGACAGGTCGGATGGTCGATTTGTAAATTTTCCCCTTCAGCCTTATTCTAAATATCAGAATCTTGTAATTACGTAATTAATCCTATTCTAAAATTGTCATTCATTAATACTCGTATGTAGGTCGTTGTCGTTTAAGAACTCTTCTACAGAATAATAACATTTACGGAGCAACAATGCCAAAACAGATTTCTTAAATGACAATAAACTTTTACGCTTCAAACTATCAGGTAATTTATTATAAATTCTAATCGACATTGCAGAAGCATTTCTTTTTGTAACTTTTAGACGATTTGCTGGCGCATATAACCTATTCTTGTATCTACCCTTACTTTCACTCATATCACCCTTACGTTGAAATAAATGTGGATGCTTATGAACAAACATGCACATTACAAATATGTATAATGAAGGCAAAGGCAGGATCTTTTTAGTTTTGAACAAAGGTTTGCAACTCACTAAAGGACCAACACCACAAAGAGCTCTTATGCAGCGTTTTTGTGCTTTAAATGCTTTATCCGAATCCACCGAATACCCCCAGAGTAGAACACCATATCGTAGTATGGATGAGATATATCCATGATATGCCATCAGTGCAGCTCTTGCTGATACAATATTTCTCAGTCTACGCGATGCAAAAACGAAACGATCTATTTTAGTACAAAGGCTTTCTATATGAGGTTTCCAACTACAAAATTTATCAAATATTATTCCTAGAATGTCGTGAAAACGACTTGTTCAATTATCCAGTTGTTATATGTCAGTTTAATGTCATTTGAAATGTTTTTGAGGGTTTTATAATGAATAAATTTCGTCTTATTTATATTTATATCCAAATTATTTATATTCATCCACTGTATGACCTCATTTAGAGCACCATTAGCTGCGATTTCAAGTTCAGATCTGTTATTACCTTTTACTATAAGAGTAGTGTCATCAGCGAATAAAATGCATTTGCTTGTAGTAAAGTCAGGAAAATCGTTAATGTATATCAAGAACACCAAAGGTCTCAGTACACTGCCTTGTGGAACACCAAAACTGTTTGTAAGATATTGAGAGCGTTTTGATATCTTTGTGTTCTTTATGACTTTTGGAACTTCTACACACTGCTTACGATTCTTAAGATAATATATATATATATATATATATATATATATATATATATTATATCCATACATACACACACAGACATATATATTAAATATAATATTAAACACGGCTAACTATGAACGCTAAGTTGATTCTGCCATTTTATTCACGAGCAGTTCTCGCACTTTAGATTTGAACGAAATCCGGTTTTCGGCACTCCTGATTTCGGAAGGAAGAGCGTTCCAAAGAAGAACAAATTGAACAAAGAAATTGTACAAAATTAGTACTAAAAGGGGGGCACTGAAGCAAAAGGTTATTACTAGAACGGAGATCTCTATCATGGTTGGAGCTAAGATATTGAAAATGAGGAGTTAAATAAGATGGAGGATTAGAAGACATCAAGATAGAGTAAAGAATAGTGAGTGCACGTAAACTACAGCGCTGACGAATAGGTAACCAGTTGAGTTGAGAGCGATAAGTAGACACATGATCATACTTTCGAAGATTAAAAATGAATCGAATGCAGTTATTAAAAAGACGGTCATATTTGTTCAAGAGTACTGCATTCAGGTCAAAATAACACACTTCACCATAGTCAAAAATGGGAAAAATTAAGGTCTGCACAATAATCGTCTTAGTCCTGGACTTTAATATCGATACTCTCAAACATAGTAGCACAAAGAATAAGTTTTTGGATATTTTATTGAATTATGGCTTAATAACTCATATTAACAAACCCACAAGACGTAATGCATGTATAGATCATATAATTAGTAACATTTATAATGCTCAGGGGGGAACTATTGGAATTAGCATTGTCAGACCACAATACAGCGCAAATGCTAAATGTACCTGTACAACAACAAATATATAGCCCTTTGTAGAGTAGTTGAGTGTCATCAGAGGAGGGCGTTAGTGTCATCACGGTTCACATCGCCTCCGTAGTAAATTTTATAAAATAATAGGATTACATCAAATTTACACAGTAAACTAACTTAAAACTATAGGTGTATTGAAGAGAAAGTGCCACAAACGTTATTTACGTGAAAACGTTAAAAATAAATGTGTTTATGTGAAATTTTCATTGTGTGTATAAACAGAATAAAAATTCGACAATATAAGTTCGAGTGCATGAACAATGGACGATAATATAAATAAACACGAATTTACTTCATTTTGACTTGGTGAGTGACTATATAAAAGACAACACAATTAAATTTTCTAATTATTCGGACGTTATAAATTCAAACTTGACATAAATAAAGATCAGCTGTTGAATCATCATAACATTCATATCTAATCTCACTACTACTAATCACTAGACGTCGCTACTTTCCATATAAACAATTGCATTAATAAGCGCCATCTAGTTAATTATTGAAGAAAGTGATTCACGTTTACGGACATATATAAGTACGTCTTAAGTAACATGTCCTCTCGTCACTAGCTGCCGCTGCTTTCCATACAAGAAATACTCTGAATAAGCGTCAAGTGTCTGTCACCCCTTATACAGTAACGACATCTACTAATACATTATTGAATTAAGCGCATTGTATAGATTCTCATTGACAAAATGGCAAAACCCAATTTAAAAAATACAGATAATGACCGTAAGATGACACTACAAGTTACATGTTCCAAATGTAAGCGTAAGGTTGACCCAAAAAATACAATGTTATGCTCGCTATGCAGGAATAACTTTGAATTTGATTGCGTCGGATACTCGAAGAGACTATACCGCTTAAAAGATGCAGCAGCTAAAAGTAAATGGAAGTGCAAAGACTGTAGCCAAAAATCAAGAGGGACTTCGACACCTTACTCCTCTTTATCCCACGTAACCACAAGGAAATATAAAATAGCTAGGAAATCCTACGAAAGCCCTTCTACTTCAAGTGCAATTTTTATGTCGACTGAGACGGAACCTTCAGAAATGGCGCCTGCAAGTGTGTTAGTACATCTGGACGATTCACAAACAATGCAGAGAAGCATTGCTCAACTGAATGCCTCACCAATAAATCAAATAGACGACTCACAAGCACTAACTTTATCCCACGATTCCAACGAACCTGATGACTCACATGTGCTGACTACCTCCCACGATCTGAGTGAGCTTGTGGTTTCCTTTCGTAAACCACTTTCAAAAAGTTTGGATCAAACTATAACCGACTCTATTGCAATACAGGAAATGAAGGACACAATGAACCGACTCCGAACGGAATATAACATACTACAGAATGAATTCGATAACATATAATTAGAAAATAACAATCTCCGACAGAAAATAATCAAATTGACAAAGGAAAATAAGACGTTGACAGCCTTATGCCAATCTTCACATAACGTTAGCCAAACAAGCCAGAGCTCCGAAAAACGAAATAGACGATCCAAACGACAGTCAGTATTATCTTCTTCTCTCACTTCTCACTCTCACACTGGTTTTGTTTCTCCGGCATATAAAAAAACAGCTCATTCAAACACCACACCCATGGCACTCCAACTAAAAAATTAAAGACTTAGAGAAACAGCTTAAATATACTGAAAACCAGGTAATATGTCTAAAAAAATATATAAATACTCTGGAACAGAAATTGACAACAGCCTTAGACAACACACAAATGCCTTTACAGACTAAATCCACGAGCTTAGTATGCGCAAAAAAAGAAAATGACAAGAACCGGTTATACATCATAGGAACCCAGCGCTGTACCGGTCTCGCCTCCGCCCTAATTCAGTCTCGAGCGAACACGCCATACGTGAAATACGCTATCACAGCAATAGCAAAACCATATGCACCGTTTTCAGATTTTATCATAAATATTCAAAACGCAAATTTAAAACCAAGAGACAAAGTTATAATCTGCATTGGCGAAAACGACTATGATATTAAAATACTATCATCACAGCTACGACGGTCTCTCAAATATTTTCCTGATAATGACATAATTGTATTAAATTTATTGACAAATATGTACCTAAGTGTGACTGACATAAATAAAACTTTAAAGAGAATTTGTAATGAAAATCATAAATGTCATTTCGTGGAATGTAAACACAGGAATCCTTTTCAAATATGTAATTCGATTAATTATGTAATAGATTGCATTGACTACGAAAATGAATATCTCAATCCCAAACAATTGAAAAAAATAATAGCACGTAGTAAGCCAGCGCCTGAAAAAGTTCCCTCTAAAGTGGTACAGTATCCAAAGGGAACAATCCCATACTATTTTTCCAGGACTCGATTGGGGGCTAATACCTCTATTAGTGGATCTAATTCCAATAGGCCAATGCGTTTAACTCAAAGTACCTTACTGCGTTATTTTAAAAAAAATAGATAAGCCATTTTTTTGTGACTCACAGTAATAAAACTTTTAAAATTATGCACCAAAACATTGCAAGTGTCATGGCAAAGCAGGAATTACTAGAAATAACATTACAAGAACTGAACAAGATGAAGAATGAACCAGATCTAATATGTTTGTCTGAAACTTTTCTGCAATCTGGTAGCGAGAGGTACCTAAATATTCATAATTATGAGTTAGCAACAGCGTTTTGTCAAGATAAACTGAGGGGAGGAACCTGTATCTTAGCCAAACAAAATAGTACCTACAAAGAAATGTCAAAACTAAAAAAGTACGCAACACAAGTTGAATTGGGCAGATGCCTCTACATAAATTAGTGGTTGTATGCGTTTATAGAACACCTACATCTGATCCAAATATTTTTTTTAAATAAATTAGACCTACTATTGCATGAATTATTAAGAAACCGTAAGTCTGATACCAAAGTTGTTGTGACAGGCGATTTTAACATCGATACGCTGAAACAAGGAAAAATATCAAATTACCTCCAAGATATATGTCTAAATCATAACCTAAAAATACATATTAAGGTACCAACACGCAAAAACTCATGCAAAGACCACATGCTAAGTAACATTATAGACGCTAACGCTACGGTACTACCTTTATACTTATCCGACCACGATACAGCTCAATTATTGTGTTTCCCTGTGCAAATAAAAAATGAAAAACCAAAAACATACACAGTACTTAGAAAGGAGTTGCGAAAATATTTTCAAATTCAGGGAGTGCCTAAAAAGCATAACTTGGTCTGAGGTATACGCAGATATGAGTCTAAACTCTGCCTTCAACAAGTTTCATGAACTACTGTGCATGTTTTATAATCTTTGTTTTCCTTTAACTAAAATTAAAGTTTACAACAATCATAGGAACACACAAAATTGGATTACCAAAGGCCTAAGAACAAGCTGTAAAACTAAACGGTCACTAAGGTATAAATATTATAAAAATAAAACAGCAATCAATAAAATCAAATATATAAATTACTCGAAAGTATTAAAAAAATGTATTATTACCTCCAAAAGGAATTCACATATAAAAAATATATATAAAAGTAAAAACAAATGCAAAGCGACATGGAATGTAATAAAAAAAGGAAATTGGTGGTTTAAAATGTGACAATATTATAAGTGAAATAAGTTTGAACAAAAAACAATTGACACATCCTTTTGACATAGCCTCAGCTTTTAATGAACATTTTATTGAATTGACAAATACAAAAAACCTGACGACAAATAATATACAAAAAACAACTGCTAAAAGCAAACTTATACCAAACACGATGTTTCTTCTTCCGACTTCAAAAGAAGAAGTAAAAAAAGAAATTATGGGTTTGAACAACACCAACTCAGAAGGCTTTGATGGAATTAGTACCAGAATAATTAAAATGTGTATTGATGAACTAGTGCCTATATTAACGTATTTAATTAATCTATCATTTTCATCTGGTACGTTTCCGGAAGCATTAAAACAATCAGTCGTCAAACCATTGTACAAAAAGGGTAAAAAAATGGGTCAACAATTATCGCCCAATTACTCTTATACCTATTCTATCGAAGGTGTTTGAGAAATGTATGCACCTGAGAATACTTAATTATTGCAACACATACAACATCATTAGTAAGGATCAATTCGGTTTCCAAAAAGATAAGTCGACAACTTTAGCAACATTTACTCTTGTACAAACAATACTCACAAAATTGAATGAAGGTTATCTAACAACAGGTCTATTTTTTTGACTTGTCCAAGGCATTTGATTTTGTAGACCACGACCTCTTATTAAATAAACTTGACACGATTGGTATAAGAGGACCTACACTACAATGGCTATCATCCTACTTGAAGAATCGATGTCAGCGCGTCACTGTTAACAAAATCATAAATAGCGAACTGGTGACATGTTCTTCTACCCTAAAAAATAACTCCTGTGGTATCCCTCAAGGAAGTGTCCTAGGTCCACTTATGTTTATATTGTACATAAATGACATAACCAAAGTTACTGGTCATAAATGTATCTTGTTTGCCGATGACATATCAATAATTGTGACATCAGAAAAAAATAAATATAATTCAATACATGACCACGAAATTGAGATTAATAATACTATTGACAACATTATTAAATGGCTAGAGGAAAATAATCTAAAATTAAATTTAGATAAATCAAATTTCATTCAATTTAATAAATCCAAATATGATAAATACAATTTTAACATTGATATTGAAAAGATTAAAGAAATTACACATACTAAGTTCTTAGGTATAACGATAGACCAAGATCTTAACTGGAAATTACACATTGAGGCCTTATGCAAGCGTATTAACAGCTTTGTTTATGCTCTTTATAAAACAAGGAGCGTAACTAACTTGCAAACAGCCATTACCACTTACCACGCGTATGTAGCCTCCATTCTACGTTATGGTGTGATGATATGGGGCAATAGTACTGAGAGACAAAAGGTATTTATAGCGCAAAAAAAATGCATCAGAGCCATATGTGGGATTCCACCGGGCGAGTCCTGTAGAGCAGCATTTTGGAGCCTGGGCTTACTTCCTTTGCCAGCACTGTACATCTTTGAAATGAGTTGTTTTGTAAAACGCCATACTGAGCTCTTTCAGAAAGCCAGAGATATAAACTCTCGATGGAAAAGAAATCCGGAGCGATTAGTATTAAGCGTCATTCCAAGATCTGCTAAATTCAGAAAAAGTTGTTTAGCAATGTGTGTTAAGGTGTATATTAAGATCCCTAATGACATCAAAAACCTCAAAATGAATTTATTCAAATCGAGACTCTATAAGTGGCTTATTGAACTTAAAGTGTATGACATTGAAGAATTTATTGACATTAAGCTTTAATAATTATTGTTTTGTTGACATTGCTTTAATGAATATATTTGACCCCTTTTGAAATAAATGTTACCTGAATATAATCTTAAACATGTCAAAATGTGAACTTATTTTACTGTACCACCTACAAACACCATGTTTTAAGCAAATAAAGAAATTATTATTATTATTATGGGGTATCTATATAGTTTTCTCATCTGGTTGCGTTCTATAAATATATAATTATAAATGAAAATGAAAGGATAAATATACATAAATGTCAATAAAATAAAATAAATATAAAAGTACATAAATAAATAAAAGCCCAACCAGATGGAGGCCCTCGGCAGGGGAGACCAAACGGCCGAGGGTTAGGGAGAAAGGGAAAGAAACCGGCGGACGATGCGGGCGGTATCGAGGAGCACCGCCTTCTGCATTTGAGCCTGGAGCGGTCCGTCACGTAGTCCCAGCCGCCTCAGATGACCCGAGAGGCTAACTGGGATTAGCCCGTTCGCAGAGACGACTACAGGAATAATTTCGGTCGGCAGACCACCCCACATGTCGGTCACCTCGTGAGCCAGGTCCAGATATTTTGTTTGCTTGTCTGTTTCGGCTTTCACGAGGTTCTCGTCATACGGAATGGTAATGTCGACCAAAAATATCCTTGACTGTGCCCGGTCCATCAGCACAATATCAGGCTTATTCGCAAGAATATTCCTGTCTGTGATGATGGCCCGGTCCCAGTAGAGCCTGGCGCGGTCATTTTCGAGCATGGCTTCCGGCAAGTACTTGTAGTACGGCAATTTCCGGTCCACGAGACCGTATTTCAGAGCGAGCTCCTGGTGTAGAATTCTGGCTACTAGGTTGTGCCTGTGCAAGTACTCAGAGTTAGAAAGCGCCGAACAACCGGAGATGACATGCCTAAGTGACTCACCGGGATGGCGACAAGCTCGACAGATGTCGACGGTGCCATCCTTTAGGATGTATCTCCGATAGTTGTTGGTCTTAATAACCTGATCCTGTATTGCACAGACAAAACCCTCGGTTTCCCCCGAAGAGATCACCG